AAGCAAGCATAACCTTGATACCAAAACCAGGCAAAGACTCACTCAAAAGGAAAACTACAGACCAATATCCCTCATGAATATAGATGCAAAAATCTTGAACAAAATCCTAGCCAATAGACTCCAACAACGTATCAAGAAAATCATTCATCATGACCAAGTGGGGTTCATTATCAGGTATGCAGGGATGGTTCAACATTAGAAAAATAATCAACATCATCCACCACATAAATAAAACAAAGGGGAAGAATCAAATGATCATATCAGTCGATGCAGAAAAGGCATTTGATAAAATCCAACACCCATTCCTGATCAAAACTCTCAGCAAAGTAGGAATAGAAGGGACATTCTTCAACATAATAAAGGGTATCTATGCATAACCAACAACCAACATTATACTCAACGCAGAGAGACTGAAAACATTCCTCTTGCGAACAGGAACCAGACAACGATGTCCTCTATCACCACTTCTATTCAACCTTGTACTGGAAATCCTAGACAGGGCCATACGGCAAGAAAGGGAAATCAAAGGCATCCAAATTGGCAAGGAAGAGGTCAAACTATCCCTATTTGCTGATGATATGATCCTATACTTAGAAAATCCAAGAGACTCAGTCAAAAGTCTACTGGAACTAATTGAGAGATTTAGCATCATTGCAGGATACAATATCAACATCGAAAAATCAGTTGGATTCCTCTACACCAGCAAAGAGATTGCTGAAAAAGAAATGAGGAAATCAATACCGTTTGTAATAGCTACCAAAAAACTAAAATACTTGGGAATAAACCTTACTAGGGACAAAAAAGACCAGTACAAAGAAAACTATAAAAAACTACTTCAAGAAACCATAAGAGATCTACATAAATGGAAGAACATACCATGCTCATGGATTGGAAGATTGAACATTGTGAAAATGTCAGTTCTACCCAAAGCAATATATACACTCAATGCAATCCCAATCCAGATCCCATCAACATTTTTTAAGGATTGGGAAAAACCAATCACTAACTTTATATGGAAAGGAAAGAGACCTCGGAGAAGCAAAGGACCATTGAAGAAGAGCAAAGTAGGAGGTCTCACACTGCCAGATCTCAAAACCTACTATACAGCCACAATAGTCAAAACTGCCTGGTATTGGTATAATGACAGACACACAGACCAACAGAATAGAACTGAGAACTCAGAAATAGATCTATTGACCTATGGTCAGCTGATCTTTGACAAAGGGCCGAAATCCATTAAATGGGGAAAAGAATGTTTGTTTAATAAATGGTGCTGGCAAAACTGGAGATCCATTTGCAGAAAAATGAAACCAGATTTGTACCTCACATCATATACAAAAACTATCTCCAGATGGATCAAAAACTTAAATGTGAAACCTAAAACTATAGAGTTCCTCAAGGAAAAACTAGGGGCAAATTTAGGGGCCCTAATATAAGCCATAAACTATCAAGCATAACCCGAAATGCACAAACACCAGAAGAGAAACTAGATGAATGGGACCTTCTAAAAATCAAATTTTTACATGCTTCCAAATACTTCTCCAAAAGAGTCAAAAGAGAACCGGCATATAGGAAAAAAATATTAGGGCAATAACGTATCTGACAAGGGACTTATCTCTAGAATTTATAGAAAACTTCAACACCTCAATAACAAAAAGACAAATAATGCAATAAAAAATGGGCAGAAGACATGAATAGACACTTTACCAAGGAGGATATTCAGGTGGCCAACAAGCATATGAAGAAATGCTCACGATCAGTAGCCATTAGAGAAATGCAAATCAAAACAACAATGAGGTACCATCTTGCTCCAACACTAGTAGCAAAGTTCAACAAGACAGAAAATAACAAATGCTGGCAAGGATGTGGAGAGATTGGGACTCTCATACACTGCTGGTGGGACTGTAAAATGGTACAACCACTGTGGAAAGCAGTATGGTGATTCCTTCAAAAATTGGAATTAGAAATATAATTTGACCCAGCCATTCCATTACTAGGTATGTATCCTAAAGAAGTGAGAGCCATGACAAGAATAGACATATGCACATCCATGTTCATCACAGCACTATTTACAATAGCCAAAAGATGGAAACAACCTAGGTGGTGACCATCAACTGAGGAATGGATAACCA